CACAGAATAACATACAGAAGTATGGCAGTGAGGTATTTTTAGTCAAGCCATAATTTTCTTCTCTAGTGGAGGGAAGATTTGTACAGATGGCATAGTTACCCTATAAAAATAACACGTTTGCTTGTTGGTGACTGACCAACAGAAGCATCAATGGGACAGTGTGGTGGTCATACTTTACTGTGAATGGCATGTGCATACAGAAGGAAGAGACACACCCTTTGGCTAACATTTCCCTGTGGTTTCCCTTCTGAAGTTGTTTTTCCCTCCCTTTCATGCCATCCTTAGATACCAGGGTACAAAATAGATGAGCTGTTTGCCAATGCAGAGCAGCAGCATTCCTGCATTCTACTTTATTCTCTTTTCTATCATAATTTGTCAACTTCAGAGCCTGGATAAATATCACAGTTATTAGAGGCCAAATGGCAAATCATCTTTTACCTGCATATTGTGCATCACAGCATGAGTTACCATTTAAGGGTGCCAGGACCATTTTAAAAGGTGGAGTATGTAATTATGTCAAATGTTTGGGATTATTCAATTGGTTTGACATTCATATGTGCATTTAGGGATTTGTTTGCTCATAGCAGAAGCAGGAAAATGGGCTATATAATCTACTTCCAGCAAATGGCTTTTTAGAGACTCTTCATGGGAAACCCTTTTAATGGATCTGGCAGTTCCTGTTCTACCGGCCACTTGTGCGGTATTTTTACTGTCTTACTATAGACTATAAAAGGGAATAGATTATAAAGACAATTTGAGTCTGTTAAGAGTCCTGAGGGGATCTGTTATTTGGAGATATACTGTATTGTTACAGAATACAAAGTGATTCCTTTCACCCAGACAACTACTAAGTGCTTTATGATTAATTACATTAAAATATATTCTTGCTATTTTCAGACTTTAGCCAACAGTTGTACAGTTTTGCTTGTGATGACTGTTTAGAGTGTTTAATTCAGGAAACTGGGATGACTTTCTGGGTTAAATATGTGATTCCTATAAAAAAAAAAAAAAAAAAGATAGACACTACATACTAGAAATTTTGTATTAAGCTTTGCATACTGCTTTAAAACACATCTTTTACCTCTAGCTGTTGCCTTTCAAACTCTTAAGTTTTATGGGAGTTTTTGTGAGTTTTCAGGATGATTCTTTAATATAAATAACACTACTGCATGAAGGACCAGGTGGCTCTATGCAGTCATTTAGAAAATGGGTGAAAAGGAATTTTTATTCCTGTATTTATCAACTAATAATCATGAGATCATGGCATCCAGTCCACTTTGGTATAGTCTTAGATCTGCAAATTGTTTAATATGCTGAGTGGTAAGACCCTAAATTAGCTGTTTTGGTAGAACAGCCTGTTGGAAGATGAGAAGATTGGGCTGATTTGGGGAGTCTTCTTGTAAGGGCTTTTTCCTCACTTTGCTTGTAAATCTCCTCGAAAGAATGTCTGGTGTGCCTCTTGTTTGTATTGAGTCAGCGCCTTGTCATACAAACACAAAAGAAAGCCTTTCAGTGAATACTGATTACTGCTGGTGCTGGCATGGTATCAGCTCACAAAGGGTGACAGAAACCAGCACAAAAGATGGAAGGTAAACGAAACTCTTCCTTTTTTTTCTGATCCTAGTGATAAATTCTCAGCGGGCAGTGTAATCTCTCATACCACCTAAAATATGTTGGAAACAACGTGAAAACACATTTCAGAATCTCCTTCTAAAAATTCTTTAATTTCTGTCTATAAACTTTTCCTAATGCTTTATGAGTTGTACAGGTAGTGCCGTATGGAAAATAATGGTGACAACTTAAAACTTCTAACAAGAAATTAATAAAGGTGAAGGCTCTGTGTGTACAGCTTGTGACCAATCAGATGAGATGTAGGGAGGTAACCAGGATCTTACCTGTGTTCTTGGACTTACATCAAGTATTTTTGCAGTTGCTTTGGGGCAAGAACAAGAGCTATGGATGCTAATTTAAAGTATATGAATAATCACAATTAATAAGATAGTCATAATCCATTCTATTAAATAAAATACATTTTCTATTTAAGTAAACCCTTCTGGGCCAGGACCTGTAACCTTGGAGATGAAGCTTTCAAGGAGATGTCACTCTGTCATTCACACCATACTTTGCTCTGCAGTGATGTGGCACAGAAATTACTTCTTCCATTTTGTTTCTGTAGCTTGTAGGACCAACAATTTACTTGTTATTTTGGAATTTGGTGGTGAGAGGGAGACAAATACTCTCCTTTGCTGCTCTGTGTGCTGCAGTTTTTACATTTCCACAGACATCTCGTCAGGTCCAGGTTTCTTTTGTTGATTACATAAAACCAGGTTGGTGGCTTCAAAACAAAGTGTTGTCAGGAGTAATTAGTCCTGTATGTTTTTTGAGTTTTAGAGAGATAATTGGTTTTCTAGGACTTAAGCAGAAACAGATAAATCCGTCGCTAACCCCTTTATGATTTCAGTGCAAACAGGTACATGTTGAAGAGCATAATAACTGAAATTAAGCAAGATCTGTGCTGTGACCTGAGGTGAGAAGCCTGGTGGGAGAGGGTTTCTGGCACAGTGGGTTTAATATAATGACTTTTACAGTGCTCATTGGTCACAGCTGGCATGGGAACTTTTGTGACCCAGTTTGGTTAATACCTAGAACCCTTCAGAGCAGTCTCAAACCTGTTCTAACTTATGCTGGAAAGATGACTTGGCACACAGGCTCTACAGAGCAAAACAGCTGCCAAAAACTCTGCTACCTTCAAATATGCCTCTCTGCTGAGAGGAGCTGTGTGCTTCTGAGATCCAGCCAAAAGTCAGGGCTAAGAGCATCAAATCAGTGCAATGGCTTTTATGACACCCCTTGGACAGAGAAGGGGAACACAGAGAGTTAATGCAGTTATTTTTGTTGGCTAAGCCTCAGAATCAGAGAGGTTCAATGAAGTTGGTACTAACTTTTAAGCACTGCCCCGTCTCTGAGGCTAAGCTTTGGATTTCAGAAGAATGCTTGTCTCTTCCCTGCACTTTTCCATGGTGTGGGGTTTTCCTGCTGGTAAGTGAATCTAAGCCTAATCTGGCTTGGCACCAACAGAAATTTTAGTTGCAATAATAAGCAGACATAGTGATCCTCTCAAAAGGTTAAAATAACTTCATTTGGTTTGCATATCTAAGAGGAAAACAGCCATTTCTTTTCTCAGAAAGACATCAAGTGATGTTTCTCCTGGATTCCTGCCTGCTTTGGAGGGTTGCCCGCAGCATGTTTTCCAAACAGGTGTGAAATAGTAGGGATGAGAAGGACTTTTGAGCTGCATGCACTCCTGTCCTCAAGAACTATAATAATACTAAAAAATGTCTAATCCTGAAATCTTTGCTCATATAAGTAGTTGTTCACATGAGCAAACCTACTGATTTTAAGGATTTAGTTGAGAGAGGATTGCTCCTGTGAATGAACTCTGCCAGCTGCAAGCCTTTGAAGACTGCAAGCCACAGGCACAGCTGATGTGAGATATTTTAGAGTCTGGCCAAAAGACCCAAGAGGATGACATTTAGTGGCAATGTATCGTCAGGTTTTTCATCTCTGTAGACAAATTTAGTCTTCCAGTGCATTTTCTTTAAGGAATTCTAGCAGTTTTAGAACTTCACCAAAGCTGGAACAAAAGCTAAGGCCACATGCATCAGCCAGGTCTCCAATATCAGGATTATAAGATTCAAGAGCTCTTTGGTGTGATTTGATGTAGATGAGGTAATGTTTCAGATGACGTCAAATAAATTACCCAGTGGTACCCTCTCAGCCCCCAGAAGATGTAAGCCTGTCATAAACATTACTATGCAGGCTTCTCCTTGAGAGTGGCAGGTAGTAAGTCGTGCTTACTTGTCTATGATGCTAGTTGGTGTGCTTGCGATGGCCACTGCTGAGGCTGGCAGAACCATCCAGGACATCTCATGGTTTCTTGGCATAAATAAAAAATAATAATTGTTCAAACCAGAGGTACCTAGGGAAAACAATTTTGATCAGGAAAACTTGATTGGTGAAGCAAGTATTTAAGAACTTCTTCCTTTGTCCTGTGGGACAGGGTGCTTTGTGAGAACTACTGGAGAGCAAGTGGCTTAAAGATTTAAGTAGAACACAAAATGATTGTTAGGAGACTTATTTATTTAGTATCATACAGTAACAGGGCAGTATTGCAAAAGTGAGTGCCTGAATGAATGTGTATAAAGTCTTTCATATGCAGACCTTTCACGCCAGTGCCCTGACTTCTGTGTTGCTCAGCATCACTCACCTTGGGCAACCACAGATCACTGTCAGGATTGCCTTGCCACTAGCAGAAAATCACCAGCTGTTAAATTGCTGACCTTGACTCTGGTATTATAATTTACTACTTAGAAGGGAGAGTTATTACTTCTTTTCTGAAATAATCTGTTGTGCAAGATGACAGGCTCCTCCCCAAGGCCCAAAGAGTGCAAATTGATAGGAAGATGCAACTTAGCAGGTCAATTAAATGTGAGGTCAGCTTTATGCCCTAAGTCAATAAGGTTTTATTTACTGACTGACAGAGGTCTTAAAACTCTCTTTGAGATCACCCACCATCACTCCCTGTTTGATTTATGTGGGAGTAAAGCAAAAAATAATATGCATTGTATCCCTGCTTTGTCTAGTTCCAATGATGAAGAGTGTCTCCATCTGACCAAGGTGTCCTCATTAATGATTGTACTATATTTAGCCCTTGCAGAGACCATGTGCCCCCAGTTTAATCAAAGACCTGGTAGTCATGGTAACGACACAGAGCATCTGGATGTATACGAGTTGCCAAATACTGTCATAAAGCACAAGATGAACACACAACAGCGTTAGGTGAATGAATGTATTGTTCTTTTCCACTACAGATTCTGAAGTGTTTGTAAGAGCTCCCTCGCCATAAATGCTGGTTTGTTTTTGCAGAAAAAGAGCCCTATTAACACAGGTGACAATTACTAATCTGTTTGTTTGTTTTGTTTCTTAATTTTGTTTTGCAGGTGTACCAGCATTCATATACGGCGCATTATGTCCTCAGCAAAATACCTCACGGGTAAGCAATTTTTCAGTGTCTTCATTTTAAAACTCAACCATTAAGAATTCTGCAAAATAATGTGTTTTGTAATAAATGGTTTTCTGTGACAGCCCTTTGCAATGGTCTGACAGTCTGCTGCAGCATCCACTGAGCTGTGTGTTGTACAAAAGATGACATAGTCTGGAAACAGAAGTACTCAGCTTCCCTGGAGAGTCAGACTACATGAATTTCATATTCCAGTTTTCATGGTTTTGGCTAGAATATAGATGTGTTGTTGTCTGGCTGAGAGCTGCAGTTGGCCACTCACCAGAGTGCTGTCAGAGTATCTATCTAGGGGTGTTTATTCCCTTAAGTTTGGTCAGAATTGAGGCATCACCCTTCAGTTCTGGGTGTCTTGGCAGATGTCTTTGATACAAATGACCTCTGTAGCATCCCATCTGATGGCAGATAGACCAATAGTCTTTCCCCAGGATTGTGATGCTGCCTAAGCAACACTCACAATTATACTGAAGCTATGAGGCTTTGGGTTCATGGTTTGTCTTTTCAGAGAGTATGAGATAAGTGTAGATAAACAGAAATTCCACACAGGCTTTACACAACATTTCTAATCTTAATGAAAGCAATATTGCGTTACCTAAAGCACCTAGTATGGAAGTTTTTATATCATTATGAGCAATAAACTTCCATCACACAATGCTTCTTCATTTAGGTCCCCCTATCCACTGGAGATCCTGAAGTAGGCTCAGGTGTTTTAGATAGACATCAATTAGCTTGAGGGGATCCTTCTTTAACTTTGATGAGTTGCAGTTTTTTTAAATCCCCTTTATCATCTTTCTCTTTGTGGTACTAGAGGTTACCTGTGGCTCCAGTTCCATCACCTTGCAGCTTATCTCTCCTGTCTTGATTCTCTGGAGTGTAGCCCATAGTTTCTACTTGCTTTTTCCTTAAGATATTGTATTTTATATATACTTTAAGGACTAGCCCAAATGATCAGGAATGGGATGCCACTATACCAAGAAGATACATGTAGGCACATGATGATAGGTTGGTGTTGATATGATGAAGGTTGTACCTGATGATCCTAGAGGTCCTTTCCAACCATAGTGATTCTATGACACGTGGTATTTCAGAGTGACATTTCCATAACACTAATAGAAATGCATAAGTTCAACATCAAATTTCCTCAAGCCATTGTCAGTAAATACAAAGCTAAAATCCAGGAGCTATAGCCAATTTGTATAAATATCATACTGGTGAAAGCTCTGCAGGAATGGTTAAAAGGGACAATATAGTTATGCTTTACCATTTTTTAAAAACATTGCATATGACTGTTGGTAAAACAATTTCAGTATTTGCTCTGCTTCTTCACTAAGTTGCGACTTCTATATGTTATGACTAAACAGGTAGTCAGTGGTTGGGATTCTTGCAATAGCTGGCAAAACCAACAAAGTTTAAAAAAACCTGCCTGGTCTATGCACAGGTTACTCATAGGATTACCAGATAACTCAGGTTGGAAAGGCTCTTCCAAGGTCCAACCTCCTGCTCAGGTTACTTAGAGCTTTATCCAGTTGGGTTTTGAAAATCTGCAGGGATGGGGATGGCACAACATGGTGGGGTAACCTGTCCTACTGCCTGACTGTCCTCATGGGGAGAGTTTCCCCTTAGATCCAGTCTGAGCCTCCCCTTTCAGTTTGTATCCACTTTTTCTCACTCATACCACTGATTACTGTGTCTGACTTAGGAAGACACTGGTGCAGGTCCTAAAGCCCTGTTTCACCTCTGTATCCACTGAGTTGTCCTCAGGGGACCTCACTGTTTCACACAGTAATGATGTTTTAAGGGCAAAAGTCCTAGAAGTCAGACTTTGCAATACTTAGGTTTTCAATGTCCATGCCCTCTTTCCAATCTAGTTTCTTTGGTACAGTAACTAGTGGATTTAACAATAGAGAAGTTCAGGTTCAATGGCAAGATATAAACACACGTCTCAGTATTTTTCCCCCATAAAAATGCTGGTTACATTCAGGTGTTCCTCCAGGATTTGTCTCAGCACACTTATCCACATGAAAAAACAAACAAAAAAACCCAGGAAAAAACCCCAAACAACAAAACCCCAGCCCCCCCTCCCAAAAAAAAAAAAAAAAAATCCAAAAAGGTAAAACAACTTTCTTTGACTTCTACTTACTAACAGAGAAACAATACTTTTTATTTAAAAAAAAAAAGTCTGTACTAGAGAAACAAGTTTTAAAATCTGTGAGCCCTGGAGCTTGCAGAGCCTCCTTCCCTACAGCTTGTGTCTTGTGATTGATTCACCACAAAAAATCACAAGCTTCAGGTTAAGTTGTTTCCACATAGAGCTAGAACACAGGAATTAGGAGATTTCTCACTATCATCCATGTCAAAACTCTGGTGTCATGGTGTGACACTCTCCAGACTTCTTCAGTCTCGTTCATTTCCTATGTCTGGTCTTCAATTTTGTTTTGGTTTATTTTTGTTTGTGGGGTCAGGTTAGGTGGGTTGGTTGGTTTGGTTTGGAGTTTTTTTTGTTGTTGGGTTTTTTTTTTTCAGGAACTTAGTAGAATTCTATAATTTTTCTAAGACTTCCATCTTTTTGGCAATACATCTAAAATTAGCTTGTGGGCTGAAAGCTTGTTGAGCAACAGGATGAACACACAGCGTGAACACACGAGCTTTGTATCTGCCATAAACCTTGCTAAGAGCAAAAGCCTTTGACTGACAGCCCAATTCTATTCCAGACAAAACAAAGGTGGAAAAAATAGAAGTATCATACATACTATGTATTGTAAATGGTAAAAAATTAAAGAACAGTGGTCCAGGCAGTTTGCTATTACATCACAATCTTTATTTGTACATGACAAACAACTTGCTCTCCAGGTTTGGTAGAGCAGCCCTGCAGGCAGTTGGAAGGTTGGGTGTATCAGAGGAGAAATATCCAGTATAAGGGGAAGATTTGGAAAGTGAGAATGTGCCAGGAGGAGCACAGGTCTGGCAGGTATTGGTGTCCCTGCAGCAAGGCACAGTGATGGCCACTGGCAGGAGGAGGATTGGGAGGATTGCTGCATTTTGTGCTAGTACAGGTGTGGTTTCCAGAGTGGTTTATGCTCTAGGCACATACACAGGTATTGCAGAACATATTGTATGGCAACAATTGCCCTGTCTTTCAGATGATCATAGTGCATGTGAGTGATGGAATGGGTGGCACATTACCATTTCCCTGAAACAGGAGCACTTATCTTTCCTTTGGAATTCTGTGTGTATTTAGAAGGGTGCATGAAGTGAGATGACAGGTCTAGCTAGTGACCATGATGTTGCAGGTGATGAAATACATCAACTGAAAGTAGAGCCTCCGTTGGCTGAAGGGGTAAAAAGCTCTTGATGGCTTATTTAATATTTAACACAGGCATGTTGTTCTTATGGATCTGTGTGGATGAAGATTGCTGAGGGCAGGACCAAGCACACTGACACAGCACAAGGTTCAGTTCATTTTGATGTTCCACGTCCTTTTGTGATGACAAAATATGTAACCCACAGACAGCATCCTTGCCCTCCACCTGACAATAACAGAGATGCCAAAAGCCTTTGGCATGGAGCAACCCCCTTTGCCATTACTGAATTAGATCCTTCTGCAAGCAGGCATGGGCTTTGCACCCTGTCGGTGTGTGCTGGGGCAACTCAGCAGGCCTCCAAATCAGCAGCTGAGGCAGTGACTGCTGGTGGACAAACTCACTCCACTCCACACTGTCCTTCCTGCTCATTAGGCACTGGCTCCTGGAAACAGGCTGGGACAGTGTGACTTTCCCTGTGCTCTCTCTACCCTGTTCCTCATCCTCAGCTATGATCTGTCTCATCAGGAAGGCCAGGCAGTTTAGGCTTTGTACCCACTCATGCCCTTTCTGCACCCCTGCTGAGGCTAGCTAATAAGGAAGCCAATTAATCTAATCTGTGACATAACTTTTTTAATAACATGACATTAATCTGCCAGCTTAAATTACATTTTAAAGTAATTTCTAATTATTTTTGCCATGTTCTGCAGACTGTCCAGATTCAGGCTGTGTCTGAAGTCAAAAGGGGCTTGTACAAGTGGTTTCCAGATTTCATCCTGAGCTCTCTGTGAGTCTGACAAGCCAATTAGGGCATGTCCTTAGCACATACATTCACAAATGGTGTTTTATACAGGGAATAGCACTGCAACATTTTTCCATGAGAGCTGTTGTGGAAGTAAACTCCCCGCATAAGGAGCAGCAGCACACTTCTGCTCTCTATAGGACAACTAATATATGCCAAAGACATAGACTCAAAGGATCTTATTTAAAACTGAAAACAAGCCCAAGGTAGAAGAAAGATTTAATTAACTGCACAGATTTAATTTCTTCTTTTTTTGTTATTTCAGCCTTTTCACAGCCTCTTGGGAAACTCAGGGTAGAAACTCCTGCAGTTTTTGTCACATTTGCCTCCTGTTTTCAATGGCCTGTGGTTTTCAACTTTCACAGAGTGAGCAGGCTAATATCCGCAGTTCTCATTTAACTGGGCTGAGGTGTGTAGGGAGTCTGTGTTCAGTTCAGCTTTCTTTCATGTCACCTGTTTTTCTCCTGCTGTTCACCCAAAAATAAGATGCTAGTGCCGGGTGCCATCTAGTGGAACAAGCCCCTGCGCTTGCTGCTGATGTTCCCTGGTAGGAATAGCTCCATCCCACCCCATCTGCTTTCCTCTGAGCAATGCTGCTCTTCAGATATATCTGCCCATCACTGCTTGTAGCTATCTGCATTATAAATATTTTTGCAAAGCTCTTCTCATAACCCCACAGTTGTCAGCTAGTTGTGATTTATAGGTACTGTGATAGCATCTGCAAGTCTAGATGTGGAAGGAGCTCTCGTGCAAGGTGGTGAGGAAACGTGGAACACTAATACCATGTTCAGTTATTTCCTAATATTGTTTTTTGTAACTTCAGGGGGGAAAAAAAAAAGGCAGTACTTTCATGTTGTACTTATGAAATCCAGCCA